TTCTTATCAATGAAACTACCTATATCTTAAACTCTCTAAACTTCTTAGAAGCTACACCAAACACTATAATTCAAATTTTTAATTCACAAAATCACTCTCCAAACTCTATTATATATAATTCAATACTCTTACTTATTCAAGACACAATTATACTTGACCAATATAAACAACTTCAACTAATCCTAAAAAAACTAACTAACAACTTTCTTATCTCTTTATCTAACTCTCTACTCAACTGATTCAACCTTGCTATTTGACAAACTCGTAATACTATACAACATGAATAGGAATCAGCATGAGAAATTACTGCTCTTACCAAAAGGAAAAATAATACCTGATTACCAATTATACAATCTTCTAACTTCAATAACAATATATTTACATTTAACACTAATATAGATCAATTTATTCTTAAAACTCTTTCTCAAAATTTCACTATATATACCTGCTTTTACTAAATTAAAATAATCTTAAGAGTTTCTTTTACCCTCTCCTGTAATTAATGATTACAATAGTAGATTTAACTAAAACAGAAAATTAAAGGTTAATATCATGCTAAATGTCATTATATATATAGCAACAATAGTGTAGTTTAGAAATATTTCATTTATATATTTATATCCAATTGATATACCCATGTATTACTATTTTTCCTATTTGATATTATATAAATAAAAAAAAATAAATAAATTATAGTATACTTTTATTAGAAAAAGCATTAAAAAATTTTTAATTTTAATAAATAAATAACAAATAAAATAAATTATAAAAAAAAGAATAAGTAAAAAAAAAATACAATACAATTTGATTCTTTAAACCTTTTAAATACAATCTTTAACTATGTACTAAACTTTACAATATAATTTTTTATTGTTTTTCAAATACAAGTTAGCAAAATCCTAGTCTCTATGAAATGCATTTAGGAAGGTTTAAAAATATATTAATTTACATACTGATTTATATGTAAAATACAACAAGATCTAAATATTCAACAAAGTAATTTTTGTAATATGAAAAAAGATCCATCGATAATATAATTAAATGGTAAGTACAAAGCTTAGCTGTTTATTTGGAATTCAGACCTTATATATAACTATATATAATGACTAGTATTTAATAATAAGAAAATTTGTTTCTAAATGAAGTTCTTAGGATTTCTGATTATTTTTGATTATTTTTGGCTAGTGAATACGAACGTTCTTTCAAAGCGAAAAATGGCTTTTGCGGTGATTTTTACTTGGTAAAACGTCACGTTCCCGAAAAGTACTTTAAAGTGTATAAATAAACTACCCGGGTAATTGATTTAAATCAGCAAATCAGGCGAATGTCCTCTATAAGGCCTGAGACCTAGTCAGTTGTGGAAATTGATTCAACAGGAGCGACTGTTCAAATTCGTAGATTATTCCGATATAGTTACATCATTTTTTTTATACGTTTTACGTAAAACTTATTTTAAAAGCTCGGGTAGCTTAATTTTTATGAAACGAGGGTAAATTTAACAGATGAATTGATGTTCTCTTTATAACATATTCTTTGAATCCGATAGCTTTTTTTTTACAATCTGATTGACCGATTTACAAAATTTGAGATCAATTAGTTGATAATCATGTGTAACTATAGCGGAAGAATCTATGAATTTAAACAGTCGTTCCTATTAATTGATTTACATTTTCCGAGTACGTACGTTATCAATTCGTCTACATTATCTGTATGCTTATTAGTGATAAAGTATTTGGGTTTATTCATGCAATTCATGTAAATGAAATTTCTATATTCGTTTTATATGTGATGTTACATATTTAGCGCATGCTACTAAAAACGATGGTTTTTAGTTAATTTTATGTACGTAATGCGTAGCTATACCGAAAGAGACTTTAAATATTTCCTAAATTATCGGCTCTAATAACAGTTGAAAATAATCATAGCTAAATTGGTGATTAAGCAGTCTGCCTAAATTTGGTTAGTGTTGAAGCGTCCCTCTTAAATATTTACTAAATTATCAGTCTCAATAACAGCTAAAGTATCACAGCATGTACTATATTGTGTATTTCCTGCAGCATCTTACAGACATATTCTTTTGATTGGCTGATGTAAATCAATTATTGGGTTAGTACGTACGCACACGAAGCTCTAATTACTGTACTAGAAATGGTTAATAAAAAAGGAAACGTTTTGTGTAAATTTAAAGAATTTATATGTCATTTGACGTATTATTATAATAGCAATAAAAGTTATACCAATGTATATTATAGAATTAGTGTGTCAATTAATTGTTTATTGGTAGTATTGTCTTGTTAAATTATATGGATTAATGATTTTGATGCATCTTTAATAAAGGTTGTGATGAACGAAAACAAAATAATTCGATTACAAATTTATTCCATGGAAATTTCTATGTGCAGTATGTAAAAAGAAAATCTTTTACTGATTAAATAGGCCAAAAATCTTAATAACCTTTATGCATAATAAGGCAGAACGATGCATTGTTATTCTATGCTCTCAATACTCTAGTCCCATCCACATGTTTCGTATATGGCTCCTATTTATGTATCTATCAGAAAAATGCGATTATTCCGTATTAATTGCATGGCATTAATTTCTATATTGATCATTATTTGAAGTTTTGAAAATAATTTTATTAATATTCTTATATTCTTTGCATCTGACACTAACAGATCCTCTAACAATGTCGAACTTGGCCTATTTGTATATATTATTTTTGATTTAGATTTCTTAGTTAGCATCAGACATGTATTGTTTTTTATTGTGTGTTCATCCTGTTTGAATTAATTTAGTAGATAAATCCAATATTAAAGATGTATGTGACGTGTGTAAATTAAATTTCTTGTTAATGTCGCATCTGAAGTAGCGACTTATTTGAAGTAGCGCCTGGCTAAAATTAAGCCCCTGAAATTAGATCTTCATGCATGCATTAGATTTTAATTTTAGCCAGGGTGCTACTTTAGATATATAAAGTGGCTACTTTAGATAAATCGCTACTTCAGATGCGACATTAATACCTGACATGGTCTGCTATCCTAACATTAATGAACCTTCATATTTAAATTTATCAGCCAAATTTTAATCTGATGCACGACAAATAAAGCAGCAACTTCAAATTCTTAACGACAGCACATGCAGGATTTAAATATTGTTTAGTATATAGGTATCCGCAGGGTTTCAACACTCCGCTGTAATCAATTGAGCATCTAACTTGGATTTTCGGCAGTACAAAGCGTTACCAACAATCGAGGGCGCAGTCGCATGATGACCCGACCTTCCGATCTTATTTATCTATGCAATGTAAACAGCCAACTATCTTTACATCGAAACTTCTTATAACGAGCCTACTTAATAAGAAAACTTTAAGAACTGACAGTTCATTATAGAAAACTGTATCCTATTTTTTTTTTCTTTTCATATGTAGAAACGCAAGAAAACATGGGTAAACAAACGACTACAACTCACGTTATAGTAAAGTCTTCAGGCTTGGAAAAAAATTTTTATAACTTATATTGAGAGAATACTAAATATACTTTACAAAACTTGTAAATTATATCAAGAGCTCACTATAACGAAAGTTGGCTGTATTTTGAAAGACTTGTTCTTTTCGTTATTTAAATTGTGAGCAGATTTTAAAACTTTACAGTCTTTTATAGCTTCTATCGAATTGTTAATTAAGTACATGAATGCATATTTGTCTATAAATTCAATTAAAATCGAAGTTTACTACTTTATAATGATCCCCGGACATAACGAGTGTAAAATTTTAAGTTTGTATTAAGTTGAGTTTGTTTTAGAACTCTACAATCTTTTATAGCTTCTATTGAATTATTTATTTGTGCTAATTTAGTTTATGAATGCAGGTTCGTTTATAAATCCAATTATAACCAAAGCTTGCTATAATTAACTTTTTTATAATGAATCCTAAATATAACAAACGTGAAAATTTAATTTATATTGATTGAGTTCGAAAAGTGTGGATTTATGTATTCGATAATTCGATGTCATTTGTACATTCAGTAACTAACTATTTGCTTAGAATATATTTAACGATTTTTCTGGACCAATAATATGGCATTGTCTCTTAAATAACAATTATGAAAGCTTTCCTTTACTATATTGATGTGAAATTACTCGCCTGAGCAGAGAGCCAATAATTTTTTTTAAATTGCGAAATTGTGTCTCGAAATAACGACCCGATAGTTATTTCGTAACAATGCGGTGGCACACGAAATAATAATAATAATAAAGGGATTAGTAAGTGCACGAAAAATAACCTTTGACCCCAATTTTTCGGAGAATCAGAAGGTCAGAAATCATATGATTGCGCCCCGATTGTTGGTAACACTGTTACACAGATCAATTTTTTATCAATTGTTCCGGAATTTATGAGAACAGCAATAAGGGCTTGATTTATTTTAGGTGCTATTTCGGATAGAATTGATAGTAATAAATAAAATGCATATGTTACAAATATGAAAGGGTGTTATCTCATATATGTAGATATCTTTGAATAATAAGTAACGTTACATGATAAGAAGTATGCTAGATCCATTATCGAATCCATCGGCCGTATGTAAATGCATATACGCCATATGCATAAAGAAACCAATTTAAATATAAATCTTGTAAGTTCTTACACGATTTACAATTTAGATTATTTAAATAAATGAATTCGGAATTTTTTATTTAACAACAATATGGAATATTTCTGTGTAAAACTATGGCTAAATAAGCTAGTCTATAATTCAGTAAAAAGTGACGGATAAAATTTCCTTTCCTAAAATTGAAATGAATTTTGACTATAGATCTCTTTTTATTTCCAGAACATTCTTTCTCACATAGGTGACAATTTACTAAACCTTATGTATGACTAACTTTCTGCGTCGCATAAACTTTTTTTCATGCAATAATTTATATAAAGCGCTTTTCTTCAGGTTTTCCATCTACTAAAATCACACATTTAAACGATTATAAAAAATAATTTCATGTCAAGTATGAACAACAACAAGTATAATACCTGCTATTTAAAACCCTCTACGCTAAAAATCTTGGTTCTTTATATTTCATATTTAGTTAAATGCGTTAGAGCAGATGATAAATCGAATTTTACGTTTAACACAGATGTAATCAGTAATGCATATAATTTTTTGTTGGGAACTTTTGTACCTTCTGCGTTAATCTTGGCATTTATTTTCTTCAGTAAAAATCCCAGTTATAATATTATAGTTGGTATTCTAGATGATTTATTTCTTTATGGTGTATGTTTTTTACTACCACTTGTTGGGCAATGGTTTCAGCAAGGAACTTTTAAAACTAGTTATTCTATAATTATTGCCATGCTCTTTTCAGCTATCATGATAGTTATTATCACGCCAATTCTTCGCATTTTACAGAGTCGTCTTTGGGGTCATTATGAATCAAAACTTAAGTACAAATTACGTTTCATAACCACAATGATTACTATTTTACCTTTTCATATTATGGCTATTAGCTTTTTATTCAATCTTTATATCTTTAACATGAGCATGTCATATATCGCTATCATTATTATGTTCATTTTTTATGTCACTTGGTCTATTATGGATATTCTTTTTTTAACTGAAGACAAATACTTCAGTCTAGTCAGCACGGATAGACGGATGATAATTATAGGTTTAGTGTTATACGTTGCTCATGTAGGTTTCATTCAGGGTGTTTTAAATAGCATTTCTACTTATCAAACAACCGCAATTTTAGCTATTGTCGGATTCCTATTAATTCGCATAACATTTTATGTCAAAAGTAATTTAAGCCAAGTTGGAATGCTTGCTTATATAGTATCAGAGATTGAACAAGTCGGGAGCATTAGTTGTAAAGAATTCGTTGAAAAATTTAAATGCTCTGACAATGATATTACAACTAGTAACGCTAATACCGAAAATAACAGTGAATCCGAACAAAATAATGACAATATTAATGCAACTAGTAGCACTAATTCGATAGATACCAATGAGAAGCAGAAAGAAAATATTAAAATTAATATTTATCCCTATAATGAAAAAGAAAATGATTTCGATTTGGAATGTAAAGTCAAAGTTGATAAATTGCACAAGGACAAGGACACTGAATTGCATACGAATAAATTTGTTGTCTTTTCATTTCAATATAAAGAATATAAATTTAAATTTTCAATACCAATAATAAAGAAGGAACATCCAATTGAACATTTCGTCATCATGGCTTACCGAAAACCTGAGAATCTTTTCAAATTCTGGGATGCTCGTAAAAATCCAATCGAGATTGAGATCAATATTCCTAATAACAATGTCAGAGTTATCAAATGCAGAAAAAAGGATAGATCGGAGGAATCAATCACTCCTCAAGAATTAGAAGAATATAGAGTTATTGGCACATTAAAGCAAACAAAGCATTAGTTGATCTTTGTTGATATGTGCTGCGTATAGAACTTTATGCATATTTTTAAAAAAACATATACAATATTGAATTAATCAATTTGTCAAAAAAATTCATTTATATCTAATTATTTTAATTATAATTCTCAAGTCATTTTTTAATTTTTTAATATATTTTATTTGAAGTGTATTCAACCCTTAAAATTGTTATTAAAGGTTTTTCGATTTTTGCGTACATGTGTTCTTAATTGTGTCAAATTTTTATCAAATACGAATCAATCATATTAAAAGTTTTATAAATTATAGTACCTTTGTGCAGGGTATCTGCTGCCGAAATTTCTTACACTCCAAGAAAGATATATTCAATCGTTTTTTTATATTATTTTAAATATTGATTTTAAATATCGATACTAATACGTACTGTTATTGCTCGTTGTTACTAACTTTCTCGAAGTACACCTTGTCAAAATGCTATTTTTCCAACCCCATAATTTCCAATAGTCACGACAAGACCCATTTCGGATCCGTTCATTCGCTGACAATTACAGGTGTTTTCATAAATCTTGAGACAACTGATTCTATGGGAGCTGACTATATGGAGGGACGACTGTAAATGTAAAAAAAAATGAAGTACCTTTGCCATTCCACAAACCATAAATGTAATAAATTTCGTTAAATTTAATTAAATAAACCCTATCTTAAATTCCAAAACAACGTACTCGATGAAATAATTTGGAATGATTAAGATAAATTGGAATTCTTTAACGACTCGAACTTCTATTACTGTACAGGCTATGTTTATTCAGAATCGACCAAGGTACTTTCTAAATCTACAATAATTAAATTCTAATGTACAACACATGTACTCTTTTTCTAATTCTCATCTTAAAAAATAGTCTCATTACATATTTATGGCTACATTATCATAGGCAAAAGTTCATCTGATTGTCTAATAAATTCAATTTAATTTTACATTATTTATAAAGTTTAGAGTACTTTTTAAAAAAATGAAAACCAGCCACAATAATGTAAAAAAAAAAACCATATATATAGAAGGTTTCATTAGAGTTGTAGAACTCCATAGTCAAAAATAAGATCTAATTCTCTTCTGTTTAAAAAAATTGGCTTAGTAATAAGTTGATTTTATCAGGTTTTGAGATTATAACTACTAACTTTTTTAAATGGATGAGAATTAGATCTAATTTTTTTAGCTGTGAAGTACTACAGCTATAATGAAACTTTCTATACAGCTTTTTTTATTTCACTATGATTAGTTTTGTCAAGTACTCTGTCATAATGGACTTTTCTATAACACCATACATAGTTTTGGTTCACATAGTGCATCACACACCCCACTGAGACATAGCCAATTATAGAAATTGATTCAACATTCAAATTTGTAGATTATTCCGATATAGCTACATGATTGATAAATAATTTTTTTATACGTTTTACAATACTTATTTTAAAAGTTCAGATAGCTTAACTTTTTATAAAACACGAGTAAATTTAACAGGTGAATTAATGTCTTCACTTCACCTTATAATATATTCTTTGAATCCTGTTAATTCTATCGATTTTTTTTTTTTTTGCAATCTGATTGGCTGATTTACTGAAATTTGTGATACGATTGTTTGATAATCATATGTAACTATGTCAGAAAAATCTACAGTCATTTCTTTTAATTGATTTATATTACTGCATTATCTGAGTACATAAGCACGGACATAAAATTTCTATTTTCGCTTCATATGTGAGATTCCATATTTAGCAAATGCTACTAAAAACAATGATTTTTAGTTAATTTTATGTATGAAATGCATAGCTATCTTATTCAGATTCCTAACTGTTGGGTTCTAATTGGATGCATGTGAAGTGTGGTTCAGGACATGAGGTATAGTGATCAAATTTATACATATAGATAGGATCTATGTCATAATTAGTAATAAGGTTTTACCCTAGAAGTATATAGATACATAACTGATCTGTAGTTAGAGAGTCAATAATAGCTAATTAGTAGAGATCGATGATATAATACTGCTTGACAAACTAAATAAATAATGGGACGATCTGGTAAAGAAAACTCTCACTTCAGTTTGTGCTTAAATAAATTTACCTGAGGCAGAGACTTTATTGCAGTAAGACTTTGAAGTAAAAGGCAGGTAATATGGTAGAGCATTGACTCTAGAGAAGATACAAGCAATAATATAAAAGTACAGTAAGTGTGCAACTATACAATTAGAATGTTTGGGTGAGAATTTAGTATTGATATAATATTAATTAATTCTCATGACACTAACCTTCCTAATATTAACATTACAGCACATTTAATTTCAATTGTTTTTGAACCTGATATTTTAACAAACAATTTTCAACAAATTACTAACAACAATGTACATCTATCAGAATTTCATTTCTATACTAATTGCTCTGTTGTCAACTTAGATACATCACAATACTCTATGGACATTGAATGGATTCAAATTTTAAACACTATATTGTATATAATCAAATTCAAACAAAATATTGGTTTTGCTCATTTAAGTCTAAGTTTACTGTTATCTTATCAGTTCTTATTACTGCTTCTAGAAATAGTACTATATATATATATATTAACTCACAGTCTGCAATCTCCAAATATTACAATCTTTCAAACCTAATTTATAATTTATCTTATATATATAACATATTTTTTATTATATGGAATACATTTATTAATTTTATCAAATCATATAATATTTATATTACTTTTCATAAAGTCACTACTTATCAAGATGATCAGTACAATAATCTTGTAGATCAACTTGTATACAATCATTATAATTTGTATATCTTATTTTTATATTATATAATATCTATAATTTTATATATACTTTAAACTTTAAAAACTTCTTCTTGGAATTACCTATTTATTATAGTATCTATATAATATGTTATACACATATTTATGCATTATGAATTATACAAAAGTATTTTCAAAAATGATATAAAATCTTTAACTAAATTTACTAATAAGCAATTTGACTATAATTAACAATAACAAAAAATCTCTAGTTTTTAGTTTTCTAATCTTAAATTCTTTAGAACTAAACTTTTTTTAAATAATCTTTCTTCTTATATAATTTATACAAAAGATTCTATTCATATTTGCTAATTTGTTATCAATGTCATCAAACTAGTTTTCATCTTTATTAGACAATATGATCATCTAATCAATTATTATATAATCTTATAGATATTTTATTACAATACATTTTTAATACTAACTCATTTGATACTACATCAATATTATAATTAATTTATATAATCAAATTAAGTTATTAAATAGTATGACTATCTATAGTATATCAGATGTACCTTCAATCTTTTTAACTCTAACAAATCTATTATCACAAATTTGTCAATTAAAAAAGTAGTTATAATACTTATTATAAAGTTTATACTTTATCTTAATTAACAAATCTATTACAAAATCTGGATCTCTTACTGTATCTCAAGATTTACAACTCAATTATCTGAATACAACTCATTATTAAATCTTGTTTTACTTCTATCATATCTTCTTCTATTTAATTCCATTAGTTCAAAAATAAATTCTTGATATATCTAATAGATCAAATATTAAACTAACTCCTTATATATAATTACTAACACCTAAATCTAAATGAGTTTTGGTTATTTCTATTAATTTAGATTACAAATAAATTAGTCTAAGCTTCTATTCTTTCTATAATATTTTAAAAATAGAATTATATTTATATAAACTTCCAATTAAATATTTAATAAAAATAGATACATGGTCTTACTATTAATATTAAAACAAAAATAAAAAATAAAATAATTTTATTTTCTTAATTTATTATTTAACAAAATAAGTATTATTTAATAGTTAATTATAGTTAATAATTGTTTAAATAATTAATTATAATTTAGTAGTTAATTAAATTATAGTTTTAATATATAATTACATTTAACTATAATTTATATAAAAATTATATAGATAATACAAATTACTAAAAATATAAATATTAAATAGTTATTAAAATTAACAATAACAAAGTTTATTACTAATAATTAGGTTTATATTAAATTCAAGCTTTATAAATATTAATAGTTTTTAAATAAATATAGATTATATATAAGTTAATTAAGTTAAACTGAAGCAGTTTAGATTTTTTTATTAGATTAAATCAGATTATATTTTAGAATTAATTTTAATTTAATCTATATTCTAAATTTTTTATTAACTTAAATTTATAATTTATAAACTAAACTTAAAATTTAGTTCAATCTAACTTTACTTAATATATTTTAATTTATAGCTATTTAATACAATCTATATATTAGTTTTTATAGAATTATTATATTTTTAAAATTTAATATCTTTTTAATTATTTAAATAATAAATATTATAGTATATAACCTAATTATAATTATTGTTATATGAAAAATAAAATTATTGTTATAAAAGAAAAAATGCATAATTAGTATATAATTAATAGTAAAAAATAAGTATATTGGTTAAAATACAATTAGTAGCATAACATTTAGTATATTGTATCTTACATAGCTATGAAAGCTAAGCATATGATGATTGATCCTGTAGAAGACAACTCTAAAAAATCATTTTCAATATCTTTAGTTTCTTATGATCTTGACACATGTTTTAACAAATTTCTTCTTTATTATAATATACTTCTTCTTTCTTATAACCAAACTATCTAAACATTTATACAGCATATTAATAAATATAACCACAATTAAAAAGTTATTAGTATTACATTCTTTGTTAATTTTACTTATAGTAAAACTTATATATATCTTTTTAATAACTTACTTTTGCCTAATCATATTAATATTCTCTCTTATATTCTTCCTAAATTTTATAATCTTCCTCTTAAATCATATTTTTCCAACTCTATTTCTAACCTATTAGACTTATTTCTTAATAACATTTTATCTCTACATCTACTAACAATTAGGCCACAAACCTCTATATTGACATAAAACTTACATAACCT